AAGTTTTGCAGTGCCTGGGGTGACAGCTGGAGGAGTGGAGGTACTGGTGGGTGTCTGTGGTTTGGAATACAGGTCAGTGGTTAGTGAGTTGCCTTGCTTGCGGACGGTGACATCCAGAAAGTGGGGTTTGGTGAGCCGAGAACTCCGATGTGAATTTGATGGTTCTGTGGAAGGAATTGATGTGGTTAGTGAAGGTCAAGAGACTGTCCTCATCACTGGTCCAGATGAAAAAAAACATCATCAATATATCTCCACCAGATCCAAGGGCGACATGGGGCCGAGGCAAGAATGCGTTCTTCGAGGTCACCCATGAAGAGGCAAGCCATGGAGGGGGGCCATGCGAGTGCCCATTGCAGTGCCGTGTACCTGTAGATAGTGTTCACCAAGGAAGGAAAAATTGTTCTTCGTTAGTATAAGTCTCATGAGGGTGCCAACATCACTGATGGGAGGAGTCGTGTGTCCTGCCTTGGCCAGAGCCAAGGAGCAAGCACGAACACCCTCCTCATGTGGGGTGTTGGTGTACAGAGATGAAACGTCGAAAGTCCCAATGATGGCTGTGCTGGGAATCTGGTCCTTGATTCCTTCAAGCTTGCGTAGGAAGTCTGGGGTGTCGTGAACGTATGACGAAATCTGTGGGACAAGGGTTTGAGAAAACTGTCAATGAACAGGGAGATGCGTTCCGTGGGTGAGCCATTACCGGAGATGATGGGTCTACCGGGGTTGCCAGCCTTGTGAATCTTGGGTAGAAGGTAAAATCTGGCAGTCCTACAATCACAGGGAGAAAGAAATTTATGAGCTTTCTTGGACAACTGGTCACGTGATCGCATATCGTCAAGTACCTGTTGTATATCTCTACAGAATGTGCCTGTGGGGTCAGAGTCAAGGCGGGTATAGTTAGGGCGATTATCCAACTGGCGGTGGGCCTCATCAATGTACTGCTGACGATCCATGATGACCACAGCTGAACCTTTATCTGCTGGTTTGATGATGATGTCGGTGCGAGAGCGCAAGGAGTTGAGAGCCAGGCGCTCCTCTCTGGGGAGATTATCATGAGTCCTGTGGGGGAAGTTGTCCGGCTTAGTTTTTTTTTTGCCGGTCATTTGGCCTCCGATAGAGAACATATAACCACAGAAAAGAGAACATATAACCTCTAACCAAGCTGGCTCTGTCCATACTTTGTGCAAAGGCGAAAAATTTGGGTGGGGGGGGGGGGGGCGGCCGGCGGGGCTACGCATTTTTTACCAGGAATTCTAGGGGAAAAAAAATTGTGACAGAGCTGGGTTTTTGGACCCCCCCCCCCAACCCCCTCTGGATCCACGCCTGAAGGAGGTTGAGCTGGCGTATTTTTTGGGGGAAGGAATTGGACATTTCAGTCAACACTTTGATTACCAGAGTTTTGAAGTTTGGTCAGTAACCATGACCTCCAAAAGTACCCGCCTTGTGTTTTTCATCATTTATCAATCACTTTTTGGTCAATTGACATTTTCAGCATTTCTGGATGAGGTCACACTGTTGTTTGATGATCATGAAAAGAGCCTGTCATGCTTGTTGTTCTTTTGCTAATTCTCAACTGTTTTTTTTTTTCAGGGTAACTTTACGTCTTTTAACTTGCAACGAAACTTTTTTTTACTGGGGGGTTTGGCATTTTTCTCATGTTTTGTTTAATTTTTTTGCTCATTTTTTTAATATTTGTTTTTAAATTGCGTGCATTGAAACTTATTAACTTTTTAATGTTTAATGTGGACATGCACAATAATTGGGTCTTTGAACTATAAATTTTTGTTTTTTTTATCTTATTTTTTCTCATTGTAGTATTTTGATGTTAATTTTGGGGATAATCATATCTATTTTTTTGTTTAACTGGGACGTTAATGTTTTAGCATTTACACCTCTGCCATTTTTAATATATTTGTTTATTGTTAATACAATTTTATAGATTTTTATAGATTTATATATTTCTTTGTGTAGCCAGAGGTATTGGAATTGAAGGCCTTCTGGCCACAGTTTTTAGGTAAACTTTTTTAATTCCAGGCATATGCCCCTGGCTTTCGTTTTTGTTATCTTGGTTTTTGTTTTTTATATTTTGTGAATGTTTGTTATTTGTATGTGCTTTTAATGCCGAATAAATAATAATAATAATAATAATAATAATAATATCGCCAGACTTGCACCACTTGTGATTTGTGGTAACCTAAACATTCACTGTGACAATCTCTAAGCAATCAACACAAAGGTGATTCAATGACTCTAATACTGAAATCACACATTCTTTCCCAGGATATTGAATCGCCAACCCATGAGCGTGGTCACATCTTGGATGCCTTCATCAAAATTTACGCAGTCCAATGTAATTGCAGGGTTATTGTGCCCGGTACGATTGTCAACCCACAGCGCGAATGTGTTTGCATGCGATTTGCGGTCTATTCGCACAGTCTATAATTATAGGAGTCTTGACTGTACGGTATGATTCTTTACTGAGGATCGATGATTTTCTTCCGATGCGAAGCACAAAAAGAAGACGCAGTTGCCCAAGACAGATATTCAATTTTGGGGGGGTCAGTTTTGTTTCAGATCCATTTGGGTTGGTTTTTGCATGATTTTTGTCAGGTTGGGTCAAGTCCGGTTAGGGGAGTTAACTCGGATCAGTTTTGGCTCAGATTTGGTACGTATCTGGGTTGGTTTGGCCTGGTCAACCGACCCAATGCACAACATTACCGCTCACCTAACAAGAAATGTCTGTGTTTTTCCTGGAACTGGAGCGACTATGTGGCCTGTAAAATTAAAGAAAACACCATTGAATGTTGTTTCAAAATAAGATGCCTTCTGGCACAATTTGACACGGGTTAGCAACGGAATCCAGTTTAGGAGACCCCAACAAATTTTCATATGTGTTTGTTGGGCTTAACCATGAGCAGGTCCTAATTTTGTTGCGCTACTTTAACCGATTTTGTGCTAACATAGCCTCCATCTATATCATAGAGACTGTATTAAAGCAGTAAGCACAGCAAAAACATTCTTCACCCCGGATAAAAATTGTTTAAATCAGTGATGTTATAATATAAATCTCCATGCGCGCGCAACCATTAGCAAGTCCACACCATGAAATAGTGCTTAAGCAAAAGTATCATTTTCGGCTACAGTTTATAAGCAAACCTTTTCTACTAAACTGTTAAGCAGCACTATGACATTGGGCCCAGGTTAGTTGTTGTGCACCGTCCTAATGATTTTCAGCAATTTTACTGCTTGCAAGGAAAAAACACACAAAAGCAAATGATCCTTTGTACCTTTAGATCAAAAATCATATTTCTTTTTCATTCAGCAATCCTAGCTTGAAAAGAGATTAGATCCTTCCTGATGCAATTATTGCTGAAAGTGCAACCACTTTTTAAGTTCTTGGCTACGTTTATATATTTTTTTAGATTGTTGTGATCTGAAATTTGAAGATTGACTTGACATAAGTGTTTGCATATCTGTTTATTTTTGAAAATATGTTTAATCTATTTGACAGGAGTTAGAAAGACTATCTTTAGTTATCAACAATATAGATGAAAGAGGTGATGCCACGAAAGCCTTGATACAGCTTCAGCAAAAAGCAAGAGTGATTGAGACAATGTGTTCTCAAATCAGGCCTTCATCTGATGCAAGGTATTTACTTTTCTGTTATGCATGTGGTAGTCCAATAGTAAACGCATGATATTGAGTGTTCATCACAAGTTAACCCACACAGTTACACCATACAGCAAGGAGCAGAAGGAGTTACAACTCCCTCAACTACAAAGGTTCCATGTCTGTTAGTACGGTTGTAAAACAGCTGGATTCGCGACCGCAGCTAATGAGTAGAGCAACAAGACCGGAGCGCTTATCGGCTGATCTTCATGGTGACATCATCTGAAAAAAAAAACACAATGCAGTGCGTGATGTAGCATCCATGCCAACAAAAAAATGGCAGCTTTGTATTCAGCACTGAGGTTTTGATGATTATGAATTTGCAACGTTAATGTTGATGGGCCCAATTTTACATTTAATCGAAATTTTTAGAACAGGAATGAAACCAGTCATTTGATAGCTTGGCACTCGTAGATAATGGAAATATAACTTCAGAGTGATTTTTGGATCAGACTAATTAACTTAAGAGTGGTGCACAAAACGCGGAGGGGGCTTGGCCATCACCCCTCTCCTGTTCTTTTTTTGCTGATACTGGTGCAACACGACAAAATAGGAGAAAACGAAACCAGTTTCTATTGACTTGGCACTTGAAGCACATGAAAATATAACTTAAGAGTGAGTTTAGGTCCGACTATTAAATTAACTTAACCAGTTCATGTATGCACGCAAAGGTTTTGCGGTATTTGGAACGGATGAGGGATAAACACGCAATGAGCGAGGCCAGAAATATGTGTCTGCGACCTGCTCGCAGTGAGCGAGGCTGGAAATATCAGAGTGTGCTACCCCCAGATGATGGCCTGAACCAGTCTGGCATCAAGGTTCGTGAAAAACAATCCTGTACCTGGGTTGGTCAATGTCAAAATAATCCTGGCGCGAACTGGATCATGCCAAGTTTCCCTCTCATGTTTACTGATGTCTTTCAGTTATTTGAAACCAATTTTATGAAGAAAGAGCACCCCTTCGTCGCAAAATGTCCAGTCTACTTTACTCAACTTACCTGTAGAGCAATCTAATGGATGCATACTCCCTATACCAACCAAGAGTTTGCACAATAGTGCCCCCTCGTGTCCTACCCATAGTGCCGGCGGCATGTATGCCTTGTGAGCGTCCTCTTTTCTCTTAGCAGCAGGTCGGGGAGGACGTGCTTATAATACACTCGTATTATTCGTCATTTTTTTGCTACCTTTTATCGATTAAGAGAAGATTTGATTAAAGAGTTATTAGCAGAGTTACAGTTTCGTCTTGTGAGATTATTTCTTAGAATGAGTCGTTCGGAGAGGACTGGCCCTGTCACATATGGGGAATGAAAATTCCGCCGGGACAGACCAAGTTCTTGGGAGTTATGGATTATGGATTTTCTGACTTAACAACAGCAGCGAGTATGATAAAATAATATTTTATCTGAAATTAACATGTGCAATACTGGTACCCTGCAAGGAAATGCTCTGTCACCAACATTGTGTTTAATCTTAATTCAAATGATTTTATTTGTACAGATCCATCTTCTTGTTTTACTGTAAAGTATGCAGATGATACTTACCTTGTTGGATTGATTTCAAACAATGATGTCAGTGGATACAGGGACAATGTGAATAATTTTGTTTCATGGTGCAATGATAACTATCTCACCCTCAATGCTGCTAAATGTAAGGAAATGGTATTTGATTTTAGGAAAAAGAGGAGCGATCATGAGTCTTTACATATCACGAATGTTGCTGTTGACATTGTTTCTGACTACAAATACCTGGATGTCCACATTGATAATAAACTGAATTGGAAGTGCAATACTGTAAAAGTCATCGCTAAGTGTAACCAACGTCTGTATTTTCTTAAGGGCATAAAGTCATTTAATGTTCATAGTGATATTATATATTTGTTTTATCGGGCAGTCATTCAATCTGTTTTATCATTCTGTAGTGTAGTTTGGTATAGTGGGATGTCTTCAGGAAACATCAAAATATTTATTTGGGTTTTCAAATCTGCAAGCAGGTTGGTTGTTGCTGATGTTAAGCAGTTCGACTCATTGTGCAATAATGCTTGTCATGGGAACAATCACGGTTGCGGGCAGCACCATCGCAAGCTCCGGGCATGGGGGGGGGGCACAGTACAAAGAAAAAACACACTTAGATATAGTTTTTTATATGCTTATGGTTTTTGCCAATAGGGGGGCCAGTTGTGCATCAGCGGGGCCCAGCCCCCCCCCCCCCCCCCCAGGCGACAGGCCTGGTTGCTAGGCCTTTGTGTTAACACTACTTTTATTTAAAATGTTGCAAAATGCATGATTCAATCTGAATAATCTCTTTATTCACAGTTTCAGTGGTATTTCAACTTCAGTGGATACAGAATCTTCCTCCCACCTTGATCAGTCCAGCACGGTCACACTGGATACTGGTGACCAGAGTTATGATGAGCTGCTGCCACCATTAATTAAATCAGATCGTCACTCGCTTATTATTGGCAACAATTGGGTACTTCACAACAACAGTAGCTCTGGATTGACAAATGGACACTCTTTAATAGTTGATCCACCAGAAACAAATGGTGAAATTCAAAATGGATATGATACACATCCCACAAACAATCTTGAACAGAGGACAAATATGATAGTAAATGGCATCACAAGCTGTTCCTCAGGAAATCTGTCGGCAGTGTTCGAGTGCAAGTGTTTAAGGAGCAAAGAAGTGACTTGCAAAAATATCCACAACAGTAACATGAATGCATTTGTGAACGGTCATGAAAAATGCCCTGAAACTACAGCATTTGTGAATAGCAACCAGGTGACAGCTAACATGTTTCTTGGCTTCGCACCAACACGGATCAATGAGCTACCTCCTTTACCTCCCCCTCCTCCACCAATTTTAGGTAAGTTGGACTTCATGTTTTGGGGTTTGTTTTTGTTTTTGTTTTGTTTTGTGTTGTTTTTGTTTATTAGTTTGCATTTTTTTGCTCGCATTTCTTCAACTGAGCATGCTGGTTTGAGTCTCTTATGAGACATTTAATTGGTTTTAAAGTTTTATTTTGTATCATTTTACATAGAGTGTTACCATAGAGTGTTACCATTTATTTATGAAGCAATGATGTAACTCGTTGTAACTGAACAGTTACTGTAAGACTGGTATCTGCTCTTGTGCCACACTTGGGCACAATGCTGTGTAACATCACCAAAGGATGTGTACATGTATACACATACAAATAGTTGACGTTGAACAATAGTATACACATATAGCCTGGCAATGAAGTCACCAGTGCACGTCTATGTGCCCCGAGGGACTGTGAGTGACTGACCAGAAGAGGACTCACAGGCCCGAAGGGGGCATAGATGTGCACTAGCGACCGAATTATGCCAGTCCATATGTTTTATAACACACCTCTGTCCAAAATATAAAATAAGAAAAGAAACTTTGTCTTTTAGTTGAAGTGTTCTCAACAATTAACTCTTAAGTCACTCGGAATTCAACCAACTGCTTCTCAGAACCACACAACTCACAAAGAGATATCATTCACATGGTGTTACTGCAAACCTCCCATTCATTGATCATGTCTCCATGCAAACCTTTAAGCCTCATTTAACTTATAAGCAATCCAACAATAAGCAATTAAACACAATACATGGAAGTTGAAACAGAGGGCGCTGTAACTAGTTGAAAATGTGTACGTGCGCAATGTCTTGACGCACAAGGACGACCTCAATTAGAAAATGTGATGTTGAGTTTGAATTGTTGAGTTTGAATTGCAACAAGCTACGCCTTTCACTTAAAGACTGGTTAGGGATTAAATCGTTAGGGATTAAATCTACACTCAAAGTAAGTGAATTTCATCCCGGTCATCTGTTTGTCATAACAAAAAAACAATATGCACTGACATCCACTGTTAAACCAATTGAAACTGTTGTCAATCAGTTTCATTCTCACAAGATAATCTCTAGAATGGAATCTGATATTACCAATCTTCGGAGATGTCATTGTCACCACGCACTGAAACCACTCATGTACACTCTTTGGAAATTAGGCTATTTTATGGGAAACTTAGGGGGGCTTCTTTTGATCAATTTTGGGGCTTCTTTGGCAAACGGACTAGTGCAAAACCTCAGCGTGTTTTTTGCATGGGACGGCGGCCTCGGCTTGTATGCCCAATCATTTCATGGAAGGCGGCAAGAGCTTATTGTGCACTCGCACTTGTTTTTGCACGGGCCAATATTAAACATCAGAGAAAGATAAATGATAAAACTAAAATAAAATGGGTTAAGACTAGACAGAGGGATGTTCGCTGATTTTTTTGAATGCAAATTTAAAGACAAACAATAAAATTAACTAAAAATGTTAAACTTTTATATGCCTGTGCATCTGCGGGTAGTACTGGAACTGGGCACCCGATGGAAAAAATACAGGTATCCGGGTACCAGTCAAAGAAACACAACCCAAAACTTCCGATCCCAGAAGTTGGTAACTAAGTTGCATAAATAAAGGGTGCGCTACTGCGCATGATAATACTATCACGTTGATGCATTATTAGTGTAGCGGTACGCCATTAAGGAGGTCCGCTCAAATGATTAGATTTAAGGACGCCAAGGACAATCAAGACAAACAGAAAGAATCAAGGAGTCAAGTTATGCTTGGTCTCATGAACTTGTTCACAAGAATCGATTACAATAATAAACACCCGATCTCAATTTTAACTCACAAAAGCAAGTGTTACAAAAAGCATATAAGATTCAATTTCTAGAAGATATACATTTGCCAATGATAACTTACAATCACAAAGTTTGTATTTCTAAAGTTGCCCTAAGGTTGAAAGTGCCCTAAGAATAAAAGTGAGGTTCCTAATCACTATGAACATCTTCATCCCTTAAAAATTCGTTAAAGAGCCATTTTCCCTTGAAATTACAGTTAACAAAATTTTCACGGATTTTTTAACATATAAAGCCAGATTAGGAGTCCGTGAAAACACCCTTAAGAAAGTCATTTGTTTACCCATGGAGATAGACCCAGCGTACCGCTATGTATAGCCAATGATAATCCTCAGTGGCCAGGGTCATTAAAAATCTGTGAAAATACCCCTACAGGATTAGTCCTATATAAGCCCCATGTAAATGTCCGTGAAACATCTTTTAAAGATTCTTTTCACGGACAAATGGACTTTTAATGAATTTTTAAGGGATGAAGTTGTTCACAAGATTCCCAGGTTCCCCGAACGGCTGGCCAGTGTATGGCTGTCTTGTGAACTCGGCCTTCCAAATTGCACCTGACATGAAACAGCCATATTGCAATAAATCAACATGGGACTTACACGATGTACAAGGTGATTAAAACTTTGAGATTACGATGACTAATTCACCCCAAAATCACTGCTTTTGTCAACATGAAATACACTAAAACCTAGCCCAGCGGTAGCAGAGAACTTGCATTATGACACTAGAATGTACAGAAAATACAAATGTCGCTCATTTTAAACTAAAATGTTGGTTTTTAAGCACAAATCTATACACATAATACTCACACTTTGGTGTGCAGGCAAAAAAGGGCTGATATTTGCGCGTTCACGCACTGAGTACAGGCGTTTATATACATTTTTCTGGGCTGTGTGCCAATTGTACGGTGCCTCGTAAAAGATGTCTCACTACATTAGTATGAACAATAAAGGTCAGACTGTCAGAGGAGTTATAAGTATCAATAACTATTAGTCATTTAAAAACTGGTAAGCTTTGTAGAGGCGAGAGAAGTGTCGTCAGCCACAATAATCTGAGCCACGACAAACAGGAGCGATGACAAACATCAGTACAACATTGCATAACATGCATTCTCACTCGGAGACCAGCGGCATGGCTACCCCTCCACTGAAACCTGGCGTCCGTAGAAAAGCGCAGGCATATCAGTTACCATGATTAGCTGGAAGAACACAAAGTGCCTTTCTTCCGCGATTTTGTACGTAATTTTTTTTAGCAACAGTCCCTTTTTTGGTGTCCAGTCCGTCCCCCCCCCCCCCCCCATTTGATTTTACAGAGGGCGGGTGTCCGGTAAAAATAACCGGTCTACCTTTGAGCCCCTCCATTGTAACCTTGAGCCATCCCATAGGCCCCCTAGGATGAGAACCCTGGCTACACCGCTGTCGGAGACATGCCCGTTGCGTCAGCAGCGGTAGTGAAGGTAGACTTCTTCGTCATGTTTGACCTTTTCTTTAAAAATATGCAAAGGTCACATGAATATGTATGGAGTATGATATGAATATTAAACTATGGGGGGTAAGATATTTGGGCCAAGTTTGACCTGGTGTATGGACGGAAATGAATTTGGAATAGGATAGGGTAAGAAACCGAATACAGTTTGACCTAATGTAAGGAAAGATTGCCCTAATGTATGGGCAAAATACATGTATATAATTTCAATACAGCATAGTTTACGAACGTATTGCTATGAGTTGTACAATGTAACGGTGGTCAGTGAACAGCTGTTGTGTTAGATAATCGTTGGACAAAGGGACTGTAAGTGGCAGGGCCCATGTGCGCTCCACATGCCACCAGAAGTAGTTAATCCCTAGAACAACAGGTGGCTGGAAGGGATTTAGTGACCACTCTGTGTGGTCCTGAAGTAATGAACAATTTTACAAGTGAGTCATAGTTATACGTAAAAAAAGTAAGTGTCAGACTACCGATCATTTGGTCATTTATGCACCTTGAGGAATAGTATAAAGTCGTATAGAGCTACAGCACCGCGTAACACTGAGTAAGCTGAACGTCATCAAACATGTATACTGAGAAATACAAAACTGTCAAACTTACAAAGAGCTCGGTATCATCCTGGACACCGTTGAACTCAACGCTGATCAATCGGCTTTTGCTCTTAATTGGCTGTATGAGCTGACTTTACATTGCAACTAAGATGATGAAGAAGACTTGCCGTATCAGTATGGGTACGGTAATGACGACTTTTAAGATGATTCGAAGGTACCGGCTGAGCAAGATTCTCAAGCGGACGACGGCGACTCGGATGATGATAATCTGTGGGCAGCTGCTGAGGAAGATTTTCAAGAGGACATGGAGAATCAGCGGCCGAGGAAGAGGATGCGAGTGGAGAGATCAGCAGATTATTACAAGAGTCTACAGCGCTCATCTTACCCGTAGAGCCACTACCTACGCATATTTCCCCAGAGGGCGCAATACATCCGCTAAGAGTTCACACAATAGGATACCCACTGTGCCCCGTGGCCCGGCCGCCATCTTAGCTTCCTCTTCTCTCTTGGCGTCGGATGGTGAAAGATTGTTTCTTCACCGGCGGAAAAATCTCGGGTTTTCTTCACCATCCTACGTCCGCTTGAGATTATTACTTTGAATTTAATACAGTAGAGTTTGTCTTCAATCTGTGTATCTTCATTTGTTTGAGTTTCGATCTCCGTAAGAACATATTTTCATTCAATTTTTTACGTTGATTGTAATGGAAAGGAGAACGGCTAAGGGCCCGACAGGACCCGTGGAGGGAATTTCCACGGGACCGCCGGCCTCTCTAGAGGCACAAGGTCGGGAGGCACCCCCCCCCCCTCCCCTGGACCTCACCTCGACCGTAAATCTGCTGGAGGCACCCCCCTCCGCCTGTAGATTTCACCCCGTCACTCGGAAACGGGTGATGGTGACCCCAAAGGCCGGGAAACGGGCTACATTCAGCCCGCTCCACCGGCCGCGTTCTACGGGGAAATAAGAGCCGAACCGCGGCAGTAAGCTGCAAGGGCAAGCGGGGCACCCCCCTCGCAAAATTGCCCTCCAAGGCCTCTGGACAAGCCATATCGAGCTCCGTGTCCAAGGCTTCCGACACGCCCGGCATGACCGGGCGACCGGAGATAGCCCATGGGTCCCCCACAGGTGATGGCCCCCCGGCTAGCTCCGCTTCACGAGTCGAGTCGGCTCTAACCACCACCGGCCCGCCAGGATTCGGCCCGCCGTTGGGAGAACTACAGCGGCTTCCGAGTTTATCTTTAACTTCAGAGTTTTTCCGCTGTTCCGGAATACCTGCGCCACCGCCTATTTCTAAACCATCTTCGGGAGAACAACGCGGTCGCCAGGCCAAGAACGGGAAGTCTCACCGTAAAAGACGTCTTTACTGGTCAGAATCGGAGTCTTCCTCAGACCGATATCAATACTGGGCCAAACGCCGTAAGCACGTGGGATCAGTCTCCACGGCCGACTTTTTCCAAGCCTTCCAGGCATTTTCGGCCTCCGTTTCAGCCATATCAGCGGCGGGTTTTTCGGCGGGACAACTCGCCCCACTTGCGGGACAGTTCGCCCCCTACGCGGGTCAACTCGCCCCACAAGGTGAACACGCACCAGGAATGAGTCAAGTCGCCCCCTACATCGCTCCATCAACACGCATGGGTGCTGAACGGTCACATCAGCGCGATTCGGCCGCGAGACAACTCTCTCCCGATTTCGCCCCCAATGTTGCCCCGTCAACTACACATGAACCCGGCCAGATTCACCGCGATCAGTTACATCTTCCACACACTGTGAGTCGTCCTCCTGATTCGCCCCCGGCCATTTCCATTCATCCATCCGCTCATTTTTCTGACTCGGATGGTGATCTGGTACCCGGTCCTGTGGATCATCACCAGCGCAAGGACACTGAGGTACATGCTGGGTCTTTGGCAAAGGGTTCGCTGCATCCTTCTCGATCAGACCATGGTTCCGATGACGAGGGTGAAGATGTCATCAATACTCGACACCTCTCCCCACTGGAAACCCATTTTCGGCTTGTCCAACGTGATATGATCTGCTTTTTGGGCCTACCAGAGTCGACTATGCCGGAACCAGATCTCGCTCCGAAACATTCCTTCAAACAGCGCACAGCATTGGATGAACCAGCGGGACATTTAACGCCTTTCTGCTCTTCCGCTTGACCAGTTTTGCATAAAGCACATCCAGAACATCATCAACCGCAAAGACTGGAAAGCCTTTGATTATCGGGCCAATGCGTATTTCCGCTATCCCCGAAAGATTTTGAAGGCTACTTGACTGTGTCACAAGTTCTGGACTCTTTCAAAGATAAGTTGGCCGCAGACAGAAGTGCATCTAGTTCATCTCGCAATCTGTTTGCCGATCCTATCCAGAACAAACTGGAGACAATTCTCAAGAAAGCCGACTATGCCTCCAGATTTGGAATGCGAGCTACGTCCTTCATGCTTCTACTGTTCGAATATCTTGTCAGGGGCTGCTAGGACAAAACCACAATTCCTGTCGATATGCTCTCCGTCGGTGCTTAGACGACTCCCTTCGTCTATCCCTGTCACATTTGCCGGGACTCTCACAATAAGACAAATGAACTATATCCTTTATATTTACAAATTACTCTTACAAATTTATTTGACAAATTTACACAACATCAACATCGTACGTTCAGAAATGTCAAGGGGAAATCTTCGTTATGAAATCGTATTAATAGTCAGCTTATAGGTACATATAAAACCACCTCAAAATATCAATTCAGTTTATGCAATGGAATTATAGCAGGTAAGAAAATTTACTGTTTAAAATATCTAGCAATCTACTTTCCGTTGTTCACAGCAAATACAACTGACCGATTCAAACTTCCAATTCAATATCTACAATCAAATATCTACGGTCAGTATCAGCATCCAGTATCTATATGTACGTGCCTAGCAATAAATCCACACTATTAACAATTCAATCAATAAATCTGCACTATGAACAACCCGGATAATAAATCCACACTATTAACAATTCAATCCATAAATCCACACTATTAACAATCCGTTCTGTGTTCACCTAAACATCACTGGCTGCTTAAAACTTTCCGATTCAAAACCTACAAGTCAATATCCAATTCAACGATTCAATCAAAATCACATAGAATGACAATTCCTGGGGTTTTCTCACAAATATTAAACTAAACCAATTCAACAATCTCCATTCCTTTTAAGTCAAAGAACACTGCTACATGTAGCTGGACACCACAGGTTACATCATACATCCATACACAATATTCACAAATTATACATGTACATCCAAAGAACAGCACCTGTGCAGCAATACACAAGAGTATATGCATAAAATAATGCTCTTAATATCCAGGCAAATAGTTGCATCAAATTATTAATTTATATGTGAAATGGTACACTCAAAATGTGCGTAAATATATCAGGTGATCAAAGTGCAAAAAGTATTATTAAGAAATTATACAATTCTAAATCAATATGCTGTTGAAGTTTTGCTGATAGGGCTTGTCACATCTGCGGTAGGTATCCCGCTCTCATCGTCTAGGTCAGAGATGGACCAATCCAGTCAGAGGGACATGGCGTTGTAAGTCGGCGGTCATGGGACCAACCCTCAGAATTCACCACTTAATAGGGCCAGGTAGTACATCACAAGTACATCAACTTCAGGTACATCCATATAAGGACTATCTATAATTAAAATAATTAACCAACTCGATGCCAGTATTTTCTCCAAAGAAAACATATTCACATATTTCAAGGCTTGTTCAAGCAACAACAACCAATACTCAATAACCAATAATTCAAGCAATAATGGAGAAACAACAAAAGGAAATGTAACTTACGATTGTCCAATTGTCACGCTGACCTATGCTTGTCCGAGCCATACCCAAGAACCTCACAGAACTGCAACTTCTATGCTGATGGCCGAGGGACGGCACAAGCTGCCAAAAATGGCTACGCCAGCATGCACTCCAAAACACAGTGCTAACCCAACAACAGCATGTATAGCAATACTCACACACACCCACTTTGCTCCATCTTATATCAGCCAACACCCACATTTACCGCATACTGGAAAGCACTCAAGTACGCCAACTAAATTCCAGCACCAAGCCCTGGCTGAACAACAAAAGTCTACTGGCCAGTGTAGAGGATTAAGTTAGGATTACAAAAGATTAACTGTACAATTTACAACGACAATCATGGTCCTGCAGTGGAAACTTAAAATAGTTAGAAAAGTTATGTTTAATCAGAATCAGCTGTGACAATCCCCAGAGCAATTCATATGAATCTCGACTTTGACAACGTCCTACCGCTGAGGCAACATTCTAGACGCCCTTTTCCTCCCATCGGAAGGAACCCAGAAACGACTAGAATCTCTCCCTCTCATGGGACCGGACCTTTTCGCTGGCAAATTCCAAGAGGCAATGGACGAAACGCATAGATGCAATGGACAAGATTAATCTCCGCAAGTCAACATCGAAGTCCGGTCCGGACCAGCCGAAAGCTTGTAAGCCCAAGCCTTACCAACCACCGGCTGATCGCCCTGCGAAATCTTTTTGAACCAGGGCCTTTCGTGGTCGTACCTCCAACCAATCACGAACTATGACACGCCCATCAAACCAGTGCCGGGCCAACCCTACCGCTAGAGTGGCCGGTCAGAAAAGCCACCGGCCTCCCGGTTCACTGGGGGTTGGTCGATGACTTTCTAGAGCTTCAGCGGCCCCACACTGACCCGTGGGCGGCCGCCTTCAAGCTTTTACAGGGTTCTGGTCCCAGGCCGTCTCCGATCGGTGGGTGCTTCAAACGATCCAGTTCGGTTATATTCTAGAGTTTATGAACACCCCCCTCCCAAACAAGCCATTGTATTTAAGCAACTGGATTAAATCCAACATCATTTACGTTAATGACCTTCTGACCGAAAATGGTGAATTGTCAACTGAGTCAAACTAATTAAGAAACATAACTGGTTAGCAGAAATGTACACATTACAGAAGGCCATACCAAAAGAATGGTTAAGAACCCTAGCAAATAATAAAAACAAAACTCCCTTTGAAAGGCAAGTCTACGTTAATGATGCTTTAAGCAGTTTAGAAAATATTACAACTAAAGAAATATACAAGGTTTTAATTGATGAAAAGGGTAAAACGCCAGTTAGTCACAAGCGCTGGGAAGATATACTAAATGAAGAAATACAGTGGAATTCTGTGTGGAAACAAAAAATTATTAACATAAAAGAAGCTAAGTTAAGAAACTTTAATTACAAATTTCTACACCGCATAGTACCAACTAAAAACTTATTGTATAAATGGAAAATTGTGAATAGTCCATTGTGTTGCTTATGTAACGAGATTGATGATAACATTCATAGTTTTGTGACATGTGTACATACATTAAAAT